TAGGGTTGAGGGCTTAGGGCTAGGGTTTTTTGCAGGGCTCAGGGCTTTGAGGTTGAGTTGGGGGTTTTGAAGGTTTTGAAGCGGTTCAAGGCATAATCGGCTGTTCGTGATTGGACCTTAGGATGGGGAAGAAGAGGGCTCAAAGGGCTTTGGGGCTTGAAAGTTAGGGTTTACTGTTTTTGGGGACCACAACTCGAAAACTAAACCCCAAACACTGAACCCCGAACCCTGAAACTCTAAAACCCTAAATCCTCAAGCCCACGTCCTCAACTCTGGCACTTTAGAGTATAAGCCCGAAAATTGGAACATCGATCTGCTCATGCCGCTACAACGAAACATGAGGAATCCCTGCACTCATCGCCCTTCATCGGTAATCCATCTTTTGGGGGGGGTTCACTGTACTATGATGGTCTTGGGTTTAGGGTTTAGGGTTTAGCATAATGGTCTTCCTTATTAGGGCAGGGTTTTGGGGCATATTAAACTATATTTACAAGATGGTCTTCATTATCAGGCGAGGGTTTTGGGTATCTTTTACTGACTTAAATCAGGAACCTTAAACCCCTGTAGAACACCTATGGATCCCTGTAAAAGGCCTGTATATTACATCCGCTTCTATTGAGGCCTCGATATTCACCACAAACCATTATAGATCCCTGTAGAGGAACCCTGAAAGGGAACCCGATTATAGAACATTGTAGTACCCTTGAAGGAACCCTATTATAGAACCCTAAAAGGGAACCCTTGTTTCGCGCCCTATAGTACCCTTAAAGGGAACCTTCTTCTAGAACCCTGTAGTACCCTTTGGGGAACCCAATTATAAACCCTCTAGTACCCTCAAACCCTAGGGTCCAGGAACCCTTGAAACCCCGGTATCTCCCCAACAGATCTCGACTTAGTGCTCTTTGAGGGTTTCGTTTTTTTTATGGCTTACCCACACTGGTACAGAAAACCCCACAAGGCCCAAGTATAAATGGCACCTTAACACGTAGGGGTTAGATGTCAGGGAGTGGGGCTTAAGGCGTTTAATTTTGAACTTATATAGTGTCCACTTGTAACCCCAACCCTAGAAAATGGAGGGGTGTGACACCATTACTCTGCGAGTCTACAGCTTATGAAACAACAGGCTGCTGGATGGTAGGTTCAAAGCTGAGATGAGAAGATGTCAAAAATGGAGGCTTCACATTGGAATAGGGTGCTGGGGTCCAGTATAATGTAAATAGACAATGACTATCAGAGGGCTACTAGTGCATTCAGTAACCAAGGTCTACATTAATTAGGATCAGCAGCTTCTCCAACTCAAAGCTTTAGTCTTAATCGAACTAGAAGAATGCAAGTTTCAAGTTTCCCATCGGCCCCCTGAACAAACAAAAGACATTCGTCTTTCCTGCGAAACGAACGCCCAAAGCAATGCATGGAAAACGAGACAACGAGTCGTGCTGGGGAGGTCGGTAATAGGATCCAGAGAGACTGAGAAGGGTATATCCATCAACAGGTTTGATTAGATTTTATGGTGCAACGATGCAGCTGTTCCTCAAGCAACCGTTCGGTCAAATGCACGCAAGCTACGCACACACACACACACACATCTGCGAACGGTTACGGTTTGCGCTTAGGGCTTCGAAAAACATCTTTTGCACACAACCACGAGCACATCTACATAATATGGGTGCCTGGGTGTTGGAACATGTCATTGATAGTCAGTATGATTTTTGCACAGGATTTTACCAATGCTTTCAGATTCATAGTGCATTTAGGAATTTATGTAGGGGCCATGACAGTTAGAGTTACAATAGTGTTTTCGGACGGTCAGGTCTAGCATTGTGTATGGTTAAATTTTAAATCGCATACACGGACGATGACCGGATGTTACTACTACAAGCGTCTGCTGAGGATTCGTGCATACAAACCGCTTGAAAATCCGCGCAACTCTTAATCGCCGCGTTTCTCCAAAGCTTAGGGTTTTCGTGATGCATTTGCAGGAAGCGGTGGGATACCAGGTAATGGGTTTCTCACTTTGAAGTTTGAAACATCCGTCAACAAGTGCTCCTAGGTCAACGACATCTCTACCTATAGTCTCCATTGTAGTTCTTGTTGGGGGTTACCTTATAGGATCCTAATTATCAAATTAGTTAAACCACAAAAAGGAACTACAATGCAGACTGTAGGTAATTCTTGACTGACGGCCTCTTCCACGTGAAAAGCATCAAAGACACCTGGCCTCCACGGAAAGAGCATGTTGAAGGCGTTGGTATAGGTTATGGTGCTTTGGACAGGAGGGCCTGCGTTTCTGGTTTTGAGTTGACGGGGAAGTTCTAACAGGATTTTCTTTTACGGGTCTTCGGTGGGGTGTTGTTCAACACTTTCAAGGGTCAGGATTTGAGGAGGCATTGCAGTTTGGGATACACTTCCCGACAGCCTGAATCCACAAGGCCAGCGCTTTAGTTATCGCAGTCCAAGCAATGAAGAATACCGGCTCCCGCTTAAACCCCAAACCCTTAAAACTAAACCCAAACCCTAAAAGGGTCTAGGGTTTAGGGCTTAAGCCCCTAATATCTATATTCTGGAAGTCTATAGACCTTACTATTACTATTGTGACGGTATGGGAGCAGTACCCAACCTGAAACCCTGAACCCCACTCAGCCATGAACTCTGCCCTAAACCCTAGACCCCAAACTGCTAAACCCTAAACTCCTAACCCTAAACCCTATACCCTAAACCCTAAACTCCTAAACTCCTAAACCCTAAACGCCAGAAGCCCTCAACACCGTCTGCTCGCGGCAGGCCGTGACGGGCCGTGCCAAGAAGAAATCGAAGCTTCCTGGCTCCCTGTAGGTTTGGTCAGGTTTAGGGTTTCAAGGTTTAGGGTAGAAGGGTTTAAGATTTAGGGTTGAAGGGTTCAGGATTTAGGGTTTCGGGGTTTGCAATTTAGGGTTGAGGGGTTTGGGATTTGGGGTTTAAGGGTCTGGGAAATTCGGGTTGAATGGTTTGGATTTGGGGTTGAAGGTTGAGGCTTTGGGGTTCAGGGTGTATTGGTGTTGTGTAGGATATATATATATATATACACACACACTTGGTGTTCAGGATTTGGGGCCAGGCCGGCTTCAGGAAGCACTGCGAACGGTCTACTTGAACCTTCTATGGAGCTGAGGTACAGCACGTCCTAAGTCGTTTCTGATGTCGTAGCTTTGGGGGTTTCGAGATTGCGCCTTGAGGGTTTGGGGTTACATAGGGCTTGGGGGAAGTAGCGTTGCATGAGCTATCCCAGTCGAGGTCCAAGACCGCAATGAAGGATGCGACGTATGCCTTCCAGAAGGATGCCTATGCGGACCTGGAGTTCACCAACGACGTGGGCTACCTGCCGGATGGCACCCCGCTGAACAAAGCGGGCAACGCCGTCAACCACCCGGAGACGATCGGCGCGGACAAGCACGTTGCTGGATCTCCGCTTCCCCGTGCCAAGTTCGTGAACTCGGTGGGGTACCTCCCAGATGGCACTCCTATGAATGCCGCTGGCAATGCCATCAACCACCCAGAGACGATGCAGCCGGACCCTCACATGGCCGGCTCGCCCTTGCCACCTTCATCGTATGCTGCCGATGTGGGCTACTTGGTCGATGGTACTCCTTTGGACACCGCCGGCAACAACTCCGTCAAGGGTGCGCCTGCCACCCCGCCACCTGCAGCTGCAGCTGCATTCGTGGGCTCCAGTGCTCCAGCCGCACCCATGGCGGCATCGGCGCCCCCTCCAGCAGCAGCCCCAACCAGCCCAGGAACCGCCATGCACGGCCGCAAGTTCGAGTACAGCTTCCAGAAGGACGCGTATGCCGACCAGGAGTTCTGCAACGATGTGGGCTACCTCCCAGATGGCACTCCCCTGAACCGAGCCGGGAACGCCATCAACCATCCAGAGAACATTGGACCAGACAGCCATGCTCCCGGATCTCCACTGCCCCGTGCCATCTTCGTGAATTCCGTCGGCTACCTCCCAGACGGCACTCCGCTCAACCGTGCTGGCAACGCCATCAACCACCCTGAGAGCGTCGGACCGGACATGCATGCTCCCGGTTCGCCTTTGCCGGCCTCCGTGTATGCTGCTGATGTGGGCTACTTGGCAACACTGCAAACATGTGGCAACACGGACTTAGGCCGCGTTTAACACGTAGGCATAAGCTGCCACATCAGGAAGCGAAACCTGTGCCGGGACTTAGGCTATTTGGTTGATGGAACGGCCTTGGAAACTGCCGGCAACAACTCCGCTGCTGGATCAGCACTACAGAGGGAGGGATGCCTCACCGGCGAATCGTTTCCTCGCTCTATGTCTCTCTCTCTCTCTCTCTCTTCTCTCTCTCTCTCTCTCTCCTTCCTCCCTGACTCTCTCCAGCTCAGGTGAGGAATGCTCCGTCGCCAGCTGCCTCACCGGCAGCGCCTGCTGCAACCCCAAGTGCCGCAGCATGCAGTCAAGCTTCTAATTGTTTTTGCACCTCCTCTTATTTCAACATTACTTCTGCAAATCACTGGTGTCTGTCTCACTCTCACTCTGACTCTCACTCNNTCTCTCTCTCTCTCTCCCCCTCTCTCACACTCTCTCACACTCTCTCTCCCCCTCTCTCACACTCTCTCTCACTCTCTCTCTCTCTCTCTCTCTCTCTCTCTCTTGCTCTGTATGTTTGCATACATACATACGTATACGCATAACAGGTGAATAAACAAATGTATATATATATATATATAATACGTGTATGTAGGCATGTGTACATTTGTGTTTGTATAGCTGTATTTCTAATGACCTAATAATCGAATTCTCTGTGGTCATGAGTGTGTGTACGCTGGGACGTCCAGAGCCGCACCCGACTGCGTAGTGTAGATCCGGATCCCCGGGCTTAGGGTTTAGGGTTTAGGGTTTAGGGCCCGGGCGCGAACATAAGAGAGATTGAGGTTCAAACGATCGCTTTCGCCTGAACCCAATCGGCCCTCAACCCGAAAACCTTGCGCCTAGTCCCATGAAGCCTAAACCCAGAACACCCCCTACAAGCATCCTAAACGAACAGCCCCAGAGCCAAACTAGCGCCATAAGCCCAAAGCTTCAAACACGAAGGCGCCAAAGCCCCCCTAAACCCCTAAACCCTAAACCCCTAAGCCCTGAAGCCCTAAACCCTAAAACCCTAAACCCTAAACCCCTAAAAAACCTAAACCCTAAAACCCTAAACCCTAAACCCCTAAGCCCTGAAGCCCTAAACCCTAAGGCCCTTTCAACCCTAGGAGCTTAAAACACAGCTCAGGTCGGATACGGGCGACTCAGGAAGCCCAAAATCCCTTTCATGAAGCAGTTCGCCTGAAATCGCTTCGGGATTATACTTGTAGGATTCTTAGATCCGAAGCCCTAGAGCCCTAAATCCTACACCCTAAACCCCAAATCCCACAACCTGGACCGTTACAGGGTTTAGGGTTTAGGGTCTAGGTGTATCGTCTTCTGGTGGGGCCCCTCAGAATCAGAACTAGGTCCCCCTGTCGCTGCTGCTGCCTTCGTCGGCTCGTCTGCAGCCCCGCCAAAGAATGTGAGGCGATGCTACTCTGGTTAGTAACGGTTAATATTCCAAAGCCCAACTTCTTATCTAAACCCTAAACCCTCAACCCCTAAACCTTATCCTGAAAGTTGGCACTTTTGCCCTGGGCTACCGGGGACGTGTCATTTCGGGCCATGGGGAGTTTTGAGGCTCATCGGAGGTCAGGGGTTAGGTCGTAGGGAACCCTAAACCCCCAGCTCTGAACCCTAAACCCTAAACCCTAAACCCTAAACCCTAAACCCTTATGGTTATGAGGTTTGCGAGGTGCAGGGTCTAATATTTCAGGCTCAGGGTTGGGGAGATCTGAAGTTGATGTTGTTGTAGGCTTTCGGATTCGAGGTTTAGGGTTGAGGCTAGGGGAGGAATTCATCACTAAAACTAGAACTAAGAAGAATAACAACAACAACATGAGAATACTCATAATCACAATAATGGTAATACTGTTGATCAAGACATCCTGCATTACCTTAAGGACCCCAAACTTTGGGAATTTTGGTATATTCCCTAATGTTCCTTCATATTCCTTAATATTTCTGGCTATGGTTATGGGTAATGCAGGTTTCATATCATCAACCCTAGTAAAGTCGAAGGCGACATTTCACAGACGGAAGGGCTGAGGCCGAGAGGACAGAACCCTTGGGGCGCAGCTGAAATACAATGTGCGCATGTAAGTATGTGCCCACGATTGCATTTATGTCTGTATGTATGTATGTATGTATGTATGTATGTACGTATGTCTGTATGTATGTATGTGTGTATGTACGTATGTATGCATTTCTGTGTTGTTATGTTATGTTATGCTACGTTATGTTATGTTATGTTATGTTATGTTATGTTATGTTATGTTATGCTATGTTATGCTATGTTATGCTATGTTATGCTATGTTATGCTGTGTTATGCTATGCTATGCTATGCTATGATATGCTATGCTATGCTATGCTATGTTATGTTATGCTATGTTATGTTATGTTATGCTATGTTATGTTATGTTATGCTATATTATGCTATGTTATGCTATGTTATGCTATGCTATGCTATGCTATGCTATGCTATGCTATGCTTGCTATGTCATGTTATGTTATGTTATGCTATGTTATGTTATGTCCTGTTATACTATGCTCTGCTCTTTATGATCTGTTATTATTTTTATGTATGTTTGTATGTATGCATGTATGTCTATGTATGTCTATGTATGTTTGCATGTATGTATTTGTGCATGTATGCTTGTACGTATGTACCTATGCCTCAGTTGTTCACGGACCGCATCGCTGTGTATGAGTTTGGCTGGTACATGATTGAAACATACTTTGGTATGGTTCTTAGTTTTGGCTTGTTTTGGGCCTGCTAAAGTCTACGTAGAGTCTACAGTTGAAATATCTTTAGATACGCTTTGCCAGATGCCTCAACTCTTCAACACTTATAACTAAAACTCCTACACCCGAAAGCCCCACACACCCCAGGAGCAAACTTGCACTGGCGCAAAATCAGCAGGACACACTCTAAACCCATACCCTAATCATCCCTAACCTATGCCTTAAACCCTGTGATGTCTACACCGAACGAACCCGAAATTCCTAGAGACCCCGCAAACCGCTAGCTGCTCGGTTGACTCTCACGGCTGGTAAAGACTTCACGATTTTTTGGGGAGAAGGTTCAGTGTTTGGGTTTGGGATTTGCGGGGATTAGAAGGATGAGGGCTTCAGGATTTAGGGTCGTTTTCATGCTTGGCTTAAGCTAGGATTCAGGGGTCTCCGTTTGGGTTGTCTTTTTCACGCAGCACCTCGACCCAGCTGAACCGGGCCCCTTTAAACCCAAGGTTGCAGATTGCATGACTATTAAGACGAGTACCGTCTCCTTGGTAGTTATTCTTTTTGGTTGACCAGTCGTGGCCAGGATCTTATATTCAACCCACTGGTGATAAGAGCCCGAATTGGGGTTATGTTTATTTTGATCCCATGTAAGATCCTGCTTGAAACAGCAATCTATCTAAAACTCGGAAAGCCTAGACTTCTTTTCCCCTACCTACCGGGACCTATCACAAAGCGGGAGCCTGCAAGCAAGAACAGCGGCAGGCACAGCATCGGCTTTGCGTACACTTTCCAGCGGGACGCATTTGCCGACTTGGAGTTCAGCCACCCGCCGTGGGCTTCATTCGGTTTGAGGGTTCAAGGTTTAGGGTTTGTAGGGCTCAAATAAGGGCTTACTGGCCTGCACTGCTTGCTTTGGTAACGCGCTCTGAGGCCGTTTCATCCCCAAACTGCCTAAGCACCCTGAACACGCCCCGAGGATTCGAAACCTTGAGCCCGCAACCTAAAGCCACATGGACAACGATGGAATCGTTCCTGTTGAGTTTGCCTAGACCCCGAATCGTGGTACTGCTTGGAGTGGTTGGAGGGGGGGGGGGG